TCGTGAGATCCTCGGCTTCGATGGACGAACGATCATTCTACCTGCTTCGTTCAGTGGATCGAACGTGATTGATATCACGCGAAATCGCCAAGTGATCCAGGTCTACTCGACGATCGTGCGATCATCGGACCTGAAGATTGCCAACCAGAACAACAACCTGCTCACCACGATGATCATTGACGATCCAACGGCTGACTATGTGCGAACTGTGGAAGACGTGTGCATTCCAATGATCACTCGGTTTGATCAATTGATGTTCGTGTTCCGCGATATGGATGGCAAGATGATGCGACTGAACGGCGAATTCGAACTGCAGTTGACGATTGAGGACGTGTACGAGCAAAGTGAAAATAGCGTCACTTCCGCTAATCAGTTCTCCATGATTGAGGTGTTCGGCAATACCACGAAAAAGGAAGTGAAGCTGGACAATCCTCTGTCGTTCGACCAGTGCTACATCTCGTCTGTGTCGTTGTATACGGACTTCGTGTTGCACAATGTGCCGACTGATCAAGTGGTGCTAATCAATGCTGGCGCTACGATTCAAGAGATCGCGATACCACGCGGCGCATACGACATCGAAACAATCATTGCAAAGCTGAATGCGAGTGATGCCCTGTTCGAATTGGTATACAGTGGTGAGAACGCATTCCACGTCACGGTGAATCACTTCTACACGATCGATTTCACGAAAGCACCAGAGATCAAATCGATCCTCGGATTCGAATCTGACATCTTGGTGAAAGGAGTGGATAACCCGAAGCGCTACTACATGTCGTCCTCGTGCAATCAAGTGGTTGTTACTAACGGCACGGACTCGCACGTGTTGATACTGCCTACTGGATACTACACGTTCAGCGAGTTCATCGAGGCTGTGGGTGCTGAAATGGTGAAAGTGCTACCACTCACATCCATGACGATCGAGGATGACCATGTACGCTTCAATGACCAAAGTGAATCGTGGTACTTCGATCGATCCAGTGTTGATACGACGATCGATGGTTTTGAATGGACTCCATGGTTCAAACTGTCTCCGTCTGTGCAGAACCTGTGCATCGAGCGACCTATTGAGACTCAATTCGATCCTGCGAATAGTGAAACCCCACCCGATGAGACGAATGATCAAGGACTTGGTGGTCATGCATACCTCGATCCATGCTATGTCGAGTATGACTGGGAATTGCGCACGAATACATCCTTCTTCATACTGAAGCCACAAGTGACGTACACGATGACGAATGATGATGGTTCATTGTTCGATTCTGGCACATTCTACTTAACGGAAGACACGGAAACACTAATGTCATTGGAAACACTCAGGAACTCGTGCTTATCACAGTTGAATGCGAAGTACCAAGAGGCACGTGATATCACATCATCGCACCAGGAAGCGATTGCATGGACTGGTGGCAAAGCAGGCGATATAGTAACGTGGTCTGCGAAAGCTTACGCACCTGACCTCGAGTTTGACATGACAGCTGAGAACATGAACGTGCCTATGACGATTAACGCCGATAAGCGAGGTGGATCATTCGGTCCATTGTATTCCAAGGACAGTGTGTACAACGATAGTGTCTGGGTTGATACAACACATCTCGTCCTTGGACTCGAAGGTTACGACAAGACAGTGGATGTAACAATCGCACGAGGATCATACAGTGCTTTGAAGATCGCGCAGATGGTTGCTAATGGTTTCAATGCAATCGATGGATATCGGATATTTGATCGAGTGGAAAATGGTGGTCTGGTATACATAGGTCCTCGAAGTAATGATCATCCTGATATGCTAGTCATATCCAATGACAATCCCTATTTGCCATTGACTCCAGGATTGACTCGCAGAATCGATTTCACCTTTCATCGCAATTACTACATCAGGATGCCCGAGTTGACAACGCCGTACGAGTTTGCGATGGCGAACATTGATGGACTAACGGCGTCGAACATGCTTAATAGGAGTGTGATCACGAATCGTGAAATGACTGTGACGTTCATACAGCCTACACGCGTTGGATTCATAGGTTCCCACTCGTTCACGTCGGCTGACTTCGTTGATTGGGAAGAGTCACAAACGTACAAGGGTGATTCAACGATGCGCTTCCCGTACGGCGTGATGAGTCTCGATGGAGAGAATGTTGAGACTGATATCACGTACACGGATGATGCTCAGACATTCACGTGGAGCATACCATCACGACTGACTCAGGCTGACTTGGTATGGCGATTGAACCAATGTTTCAACTCTGCTGCACTAAACATACGATGGATACCCGAGTCAGATGGCTACTACATTCACGCAGACTATGTGTTCTCGTTGAGTGGTAACCTTGGCACGATCATTCCCGCTTCAGGATCGCAATCGCATACATGGCGTATCCCTTTCGACGATGGTGTGTACTATGCCAACTATGGCCCAATGGTTGCCGAGTATCCTGTCGATATCACGAACGGTCTATCGAACATACAGCTGTATTGCAATATCGTGAAAAGCAAGACGATACCACTGCTTGCGAATGTCCCGATGGACAGCTTGTACAAGAATTACTTCTACAAGAATCGCATGTTGGTACCATGTTCTGAATTGCTTGATCGCATCGTGTACGAACTTAAGGATGAAAATGGTGACCCGCTATCGTTCATTGGGAACGTGTACCTGCTAATCGGATTCACCGTTTCAGGAGGAAATAATAAATGAATCTAGTGTTCAACATTGCTCGAACGTACGAACATGAATTCACGAGTAACAATCTCATCAAAAGCGACATGGTGATCGATCGGATATCGATGAAGGGAGAATCGCCTGGCACCTGCCTTGTCCTTGATCGAGTGAACAACATGCAAGAACGACGACAGTCTCCGTTGGTTGTATTGAACGAGGTGTACACAGAGAATGCACACATGAACGTCGTGGTACCCAAAAGTCGCAAATGGTCATTCTCGTTGACCGATAAGACCGGTGCAACGATTGCCCTGCCAATGCCGATCACAGTGTGCATTCACTTCCATGTTCTCCAAAGTAATTAGGGGGCAACTGCGTTGCCCCCGGGGGAGACTACGTCTCCCCATACATAAATGAGTCATAATCGTGCACTACCGGTGAGTGTGATTAACCACAATACAGTAATTCCGAAGAACAACGAACGATACCATGAAACGTTCAACACAGTGATCATGCCTCGTGACCTTGTGTACAAGATCACTTCGATTACGTGCAAGATCGATACCACTTCTCTCTGGAACATTCGTGCAATAAATGTCGTGAAGGTTCAAATGTTGTCAGGGTTTGAAATGGTCTACAACG